TTTATGATGGAAAGAGCTGATTGGTTCTATTAAAATATCACCGTAAATGTGGTTCGGCACGATCAAAAAAACTGAGCCCGCCCCTCTTGATGCCAATCAGTAGGCTGCAGGTAAAGGATCCATAGGTTACTTCACATACCTATAGCCAAAATCCCTCCTTTCCTCTCGCTCACGTCCGAGCTGGAGACAAACTCAAAGATGAAATGATTGAGCTCATCGTAGAACTGTGTCGCCTCCTCCTGGCTGACCTGGGAATGACAGAGAAGTATGTAAGCGAATGCAAGGTGCTCTGTGATCATATATAAGAACAGGATCATGTTATGAGAGGTGTACAATACATTGTCACGCCATCACACCACCAGTTACAGTGTATGTGAACCCCAACAGTGGACTTTACTTGTTCCTTCTGGTTTGCCAACTATACCATTGAAAGTTTCTGGCTATAGCTGTCTGATAAGTGCAAAAAATACCTGTTGATCCTGCCAGAAATCTTGTAAGCTGATAAGTTCCTGTGCTCCCTGCCTGTGCACACGGAGGCGTTATAGGAGGTGGGGGGAGGAGATGAGGACGTCTGCTTTTTTTTTTGTAAATCCATCAGAAATGAAGTAGGCAGGGCTGACACTAAAGATGCGCTGATACCAAAACTAGTATCGATATGGAGTGTTTGGGCGAGTACTCATACTCGCCAAAATTCTACAATACCTTCCCCGATACCGAAACTTCCGGTCAGTGGAAGATTTTCTCTGACCGGCAGTGTCGCAGGGAACCATGAAGTCGGCTTCCTGGGAAGGCGGGTCATTACTCGCCGCCTGGCCTTCTGGTTGGCTGGGAAGCCGGTTCGATGCTAATTGGTTGGGAAGCCAATTTCCCGGCCAATCGTAATCAAAGCCGGCCAAACAACATGGGGCTGGCTTCCCGAGGCAATCAGGAGCTGGGCGGCATGTAATGACATGCCGCCCGGCTCCATGCCAGCGGAAGCACCAGTATCGGTACTCGGTATCGGCGAGTACCAAAAGCATCAGTACTCGTACTTGATAGCGGACGCAATGTGCCTAGGAATTCACAACTGCGTTGTGTCAAAGAGGAAGGTAGGATCACACTTTTCCTGGCACACAGGCAGGCAAATAATGGTAAGGACCCTGGGGACAATGCACATGATCCTCCCCCCCCCACCACAGCACCTG